TTTCATACAAAGATAAAAAAATTAGGTTTGTTCTTTTATTTATCCCAGCCCAAGATTTTAGAGTCACAAATGACCATATTTAGTTTTCAAGCAGATGCATTAGAAACCTAACTTGTTTTTAATTTCAAGATTGTGTGCACAGGACCATTCATGGACAGTTTGGCACAACTTTCCATCCATACATGTCCCCTTTCCTATTCTATATTGCGTGTGTGATTAGAATAGAATAGAATTCTTTATTGGTCAAGTGTGATTGGACACATAGGGAATTTGTCTTGGTGCAAATGCTCTCAGTATACATAAAAGAAAAGATACAGTGCCAATATTTGATATAGACATTATAAAACCAGTTCAGCTTTCCCAACAATGATATGTCTGGAGACCAATCCTGTTGACTTAAGGGAACAATAATGATAACATCTATAACATTAAAACATCTAGAGGGTAACAGATTGGGGAAAGTGAATCTGTTTTTGAGTGGGTTCAATATTCTACTACCCCATGTTTATGTGATGGTGATGTATCATATAAAAATAATTTGGATCAATTTTAAAAAAAGAATATATTGATGTTTTTAATTTTATTTCAGTTTGAAGGAATTATAACATTCTAAAGCCAACAATATCTACCTGCTACATATTACATGTACATGCATATAGGTATTAAAGGTATTTGAAGCAAAGTTTCAAAGCATGAAAAGCTGGGATATTGAGCAAAGCATGTATTACAATCTGTCTCTAGTTAGGCAATGATACAGCAGAATTCCTTGGTCAAAAAAAAAATGTTGCCTTTGCAGTCATCAACCTTAGCTTCTCTCTATCCCTCCTCCCCACCCTCTCCCTCTCAGGGATTTTGATCAAAATAAGATCTTTTGAGCAACCTTATATATACCACCATGGCTCAAAGCATATTTCTAGAATTAGCACTCAGACTGAAAACCAATGACGTTTTTTTTTTTATATGGACTCATACTTATTGTTGTGTTTGGATTCAATAATTGGAATCTAAACTTAGTAATGTTTAAGAACAAGGCCAACATTAACAATGGGATAACACACAAAAACAAGTCTGTGCTGCTTTATTTTGCTCATACAAAAGAAGATGCGTGGAGACAAAGTAAACTTCATCTCTGACACACATGGAGAGGTTTCACTGATCTCCAAGTATGTAAACCTCTCCTCCCATCTTCTACAAAAAATAATCAAAATGCCAAAAAGGGTTTTGTTATCTAAAGCAGAGCAACAAATGTTTTGAAAATCATGATGATTATATTTCATAGTTGGACTTTCTGTTTTTCAAAGATCAACTGTTTTTCAGACATTTCAGTCAAAATGTACCCAAGTAACTTTCCTATTGCTAAGAAACCAACAAATAACCCTTTGCTGTTCTGTGAAGGGTATGGGAGTGCAATTCTATGAAATCCATTAAGCACATGATTTATTTTTCAGCATATACCGTAGCATCTGGTAGAGGCTGAAGTTAGCCAATGGGAAAGATGTAAATGATTAGGCAATAATGAGATTTTCAAGTTGTATTATCATTCTGAAACACTACCATCGGCAATAAATGAAAATATTTTAGAGACAATCTTTTTTTCTGAAGACCAAACGCAGTATCTGAGGCTTTGGGAAAATAATATAAAAATGGAAAGCACAAAGACATTAACAAAGAATTTAAAAGTAGTACTAAAATGTAAAGACCAAACAAACTACTGGCACCTGAGAGGAATTGCACTGACTTAAATCGCTGAAGGTCATAAAGTAGCCATTGAGCCTGGCCTACGGACTCTTTCCCTGTAATGCAACAAACCTGGAATTGCACAGTAGCAAAGTAATTTGCCTTTGTCTGATAGGTAGAAAGTGTAAAAAAAGGGAACATTATATCAACCAAACTCTTCATTTTCTCTGAAGCCTATTATATACTTTCAGTCTTTGAAAAGCCAGTTTTGGTTAAACCAGCAGTTCTAATAATAGACAATTGTTCAAGCTCATTGCACTTTGCAACCTCAACTGTGCAATAAACAGAGAACCCCACCGAGTTTACTGAAGCTTGCTCTTAGAAAACTGCCTGGGAATAGAATCTGTATTGTAAACACAGATGCTCTCATGTATGCATACGTGTGAGGATGCTTAGATATCTGTATCTGGACATATTAAACTTATTGGACATGGAAGATTTTACTATGGCTTCTCATAGGACTACACAGGAATTGCTAGACTCTAATGTAAAGTAATATTGTTACGTTACTACAGTATTATGACTTGAATGTACATTAAATTATCTATATGCAGATACTTTCCTTGAAGATACTACATCAAGTTTGTTGACACAGTTTGCCTAATGATAGTACTATTACCACTTAAATGTATTTTAAGTAAAATAACGGTGGATACTGAATGCAAATTTATGATGTTATAACATGATAATCAATACCTTACCACATAAAAGGCATCAAAATTAGAAGCTGAGCCAAAATGCACAAACAGTTGGCTATTAACTATGTTAGCTGGAATTTCTCTGGCTTGCAGTCCCAATATGTACAGTAAAGGGCTCCAGTTTCAAAATGTGTTCTAAAATGTTGATGGAAAATCTTTCTCAAAAAAATAAAAGAAGTATATGACAAGGCATCTTTGACATTCAGTAATGTAAATGGCCACATAATGTCATAAGATCAAAAAATGAATGAGTATTGAAGAAATCAGGACTGAATTAAAAAATGAGTGACCACATTGGAAGACGTACATTGAGGTGCTTGGGTTCATAGACATAAAATGAACTATGATTTAATCACAAACATGTGAAGGAAGAATGAATGGAGCTAATCAAAAGAGGAGGCCAAGAAACTTGTGATTGGATGAAACTGGGATCTAGAAAAATAAAGAAGTTTAAAGAACAAAAGAAAAATTATGAGATTTATGTGTGATGCCTAGGGTGATCCCATTAATTATACCATTAATTTGTTATATCCAAACATGAAACATATATAAATCTAAGAGCAAAAGGCCAAAGGCAAATGCAAAAAAAAAAAAAGGGGGGGGGGGGCGGAAACCTATCCATAAGAAAATGGGAACTTGTGGTCGTAGAAGCTATTTTGATATACAGAAAATGTGGCTTGAATTGTAGAAAATGCAGCTTGCATTGCTAATTGCTAATAATATAACAGGAAATTGCTAAGAGGGCAACAAGGACCCAGGAAAATGACTCAATGCTCCCTGTCTACTATAACAACTGAGGACAGGGAGGTGAGAGTTACACAAACGGTGGGGGACATCCCCTGGTATCCTTCATCTGTGCAATCTCTACCCTGATCATTGGGCGTTCACATATTGGGCACAGACTCAGGATTTTCTAAGACAGCATAACCATAGCTATAGCAATAGCACTATATACCACTATATATGCTTTACAGCACTTTCTGAGCAGTTTACAATGTCAGCATATTGTCCTCAACAATCTGGGTCTTCATTTTACTTGACCTCAGAAGGATGAAAGGCTGAGTCAACCTTCAGCCAGTCAGGATTGAACATCCAACATCTGGACATGGTATAAGTGCAGGATTATATAGGTGTACAGTCAATCCTCAATTCGCAATCACAATTGAGCCTAACATTTCTGCTGCTAAGCGAGACAGTTGTTTAACGAATTTTGCCCCATTTTATTATCTTTTGTTTTACAATTATTAAGTGAATCATGGCAGTTGTCTAATTAGTAACACACTGTTAAGTGAATCTGGATTTCTCGTTGACTTTGTCTATCAGAAGGTTGCAAAAGGTGTCTGAATTCTGATCACATGACCTTGAGGATGCTGCAATGGTTAAGAGTGTGAAAAATGATTGTAAGTCACTTTTTTTTTCAGCGCCATTGTAACTTCGGTCACTAAATGAAATAAATTTAGTTTACATCAGTGCAATTTTTTATACAGGTTATCCTTGACTTACAAATTGAGGATTACCTATATAATAAATTGCACTGATGTAAACTAAAAAAAATTCCTCTTAAATATGGTCTTAAATGTTTTTTGCTCATTATTACTTGTTTTTTTTTTTGTATGTTTTATCTAAAGATGCTTACTCTCAGAACGGAATGATGGATATGTATGTATGCTTGAGAATCACGGCATGACGAACATGGTAGTCCTGAAAGGTACTGAATCCCTTGATTTAACAAAGATTATAATCCAAAGAAAATTAAGCAGGCTCACATTTTATAAAATTCAGCAAGTTATCATTGAATAAATTATTTTAGCTTTTCCAAGGTAGCTGTATAACTGGAAAAGCTTTCTGAAGTTGGTACTATACAATTCAACCGTGATAATCTGTATCCAAACAAAAACTCTGTGATTTCACAACGCTAGTAAATTTTTCAGTCAACTGCACCGTACTCATACGTGCATAAAAATGTTATGATCTTATTATTGAAGTATGATATGCCTATAAATTCAGAGATCTTGTTAATGTGAATATATATATATATAGCTCAGAACTGAACTGTGGAATCACTGATGCTCTCTGAGCTCAACTGTTTGCTAGCATATGTTTCATTAATTGAGTAGGGTTAGAGTTAAGGTTATTGGAAGTGGAATTTGCTCCTTGTTTACATATAATAGCTTGCCCTGCCAGTGTTGATGGGGGTATAGTTTTTACTTGGTAATTATTTGATTATGAACTACTTAATATTGTCTTCTGCTTGGTTGGTTGTCTGTGTTAATCCCTGGGTGTTGTTTTCTGGAAAGGATGTTCTGGGGTTTTCTCTCTCGCTTCTTAACTGTTTTATTCTCTCTTTTGAATGGTGTGTAAATATGGCTTTTTTCTATGTGCCTATTGATGACTGATTTATCTAAATGCCAAGCATTCATGAGAGTTAAAGATAAACATTCTGGAAATGTTAAATTATGGTCCATTTCCTTGGTACTGGCTGCAAGGAATCAGAACATTTTGTAGAAGAAAATACTGAGTGGTATACTGTACAATGCAAGCAACCTTTTGAGGGAGTATACTTACTGTGCATTATCCAGGTGAGGTACAACCCATAGCTGATGATTGATGGAATTACTGGCAAGATGCTTCATAGCACAACCTTGCACATCTCCTCAGGCCAGTCCCAAGGTATACTGCACAGTGATGCATCAGGAAACATAAATGTATTACTAGACAGATCAGCCAGTTCAGCGATTGAAGCAATTGACAAACCAAATAAAATAAATAAAAATAAAAATAACATGCAAATACTGAAATTAATAGCGTCCAACGCATGCATATATTTAACTTCCTTCGACCTAAAAGTTTGCGATTTGCAAAGAAAGAAAACAACACCTTATCCTTAAGAGTTAAAAGATATGAAAATAACAAAAATAAAATTGAAGTGTGTGGGGGGGAGAGAAGATGGCGATAGATGCGATACAGCATATGCCCGATAAGCAGGCAACGCGTGCGTGCAGTGCTCAAACACGTCTAACAAATTATGATCGGGGGTCCAAGGGCAGCGGAGAAGCGGTGCCCGTTCAACTCCTTGCGCGGACCGCTCCCCGCCCTCCCGCTTCGGTACTAACCGGGCTTCGACTTCCACGTCTGTAAGCCGGTCGAGTGGAGAGGAAAAGGCTTTGTGTAAATACCGGGAAGGCGGGTCAGAGAAGTTGCGTGTGTGCAGCTCGAGCCCTTCAAGCGAGGCGGCGGAACGGAGGGAGGTGCGCCGCGTTAGGTGGAGGTGCGAGCGAGCCGTTTGAGAAGTTGGCGGGTGGGCGTGGGCACCACGCAGGACTTCTCCCCGGGGGAAGCAGCAGGAAGAAGCCGAGCGAGGGGACGGAAAGGCAGGGGGAGAGGGGGAAGGGAAGCGGAGCCCGAGGCAACCGCCTTGAAAGGCTCCTCTCCGCCGGAGGAGCGGCTGCGAGCCAGAGGCGGGGAAGAGCGCCGGGGGCTGTTCCCCACGTGGCGCTGACGCTCAGCCACTGAACCCGCCGAGCCGATCGGGGGCTATAAAGTGAACCGGGAGCCCAGAAGGGCTGAGCTTCGGCAAGAGAGCGAGCGCTGCCTTCCTGGAGGAGCAGGAGACTTTGCATCCCGTTTCCAACCCTGAGCCCCAACCCTTCTCCGTTTTGGCGGCCGGTTGTATCTGTAGAGTGCGCGGCGGCGGGGACTCTCCGTTGCCTCCTGGCGTCTCTTCGCGCGGCTTACGAGCGAGGACGGCGCCCTTCGTCGCCCCCATGCAGGAGCTGCTCGGCCGGGAGAAGCCAGGCTCCCTCTCCGCCGCCTGCCTCCCGCGGAGGTCCCGTCCTCTCCTTTCCTCTCGCGGGGTGAAGGTAAGAAGCAACTTTTGACTCCCGCTCCGCCTGCCGCGAATGGCCTCTTGAGGAGCCCCAACCCCGCCCCCCCTCCAGTCTCGGCTGGACTTTGTAGGAAAATCTGAGGGAGTAGGAAGGAAGGAAGGAAAGAAGGAAGGAGAGAGAGAGAGAGAGCCCCGGTCGCCCTGCCGGTCTGCGATGACTGAAACGGAGGCGGGGGGCAGTTATGGAAGCTGAGCCAAGCCGCTTCTCTTGCTCCTGATTGGGATCGGTGGCTTTCCGGCGCCTGCAGAAAGGACCAGCCCCGCTGGAAATAGGCGCGGGATCTCCTCCTCTTCGCAGGGTGTGCCTGTCTTAAGCGACGTCCATGAAGCTGGGTTAATGTTGAAGCTGAAGAGCCCGTACCCAGAGCAAGGGGGATTCGCTTCCCTGGCCCACGTGCCCTCTTTCCAGCTGGAGCACAGCTACCCACAGCACATGGATGGCAATGGGAGCTTGAATGGAAGTGGGGGTGGGCAGAAAGAGGGCCTTCATTACCCCTTGCCCACTACCTTAGCCCTCATCTTCCTGGCCACCCTGCTCATGATCTTCACCATCTTTGGCAACGTATTGGTCATCATTGCTGTCTTCACCAGCCGGATGCTGAAGGCGCCTCAGAACCTCTTTTTGGTTTCCTTGGCCTCAGCAGACATCCTGGTGGCCACCTTGGTCATTCCCTTTTCTCTTGCCAATGAACTGATGCCCCAGTGGTATTTTGGCAAGGTGTGGTGTGAGATCTACCTGGCTTTGGATGTACTTTTCTGCACCTCTTCCATTGTGCATCTCTGTGCCATCAGCTTGGATCGCTACTGGTCCATTACCCAGGCCATTGAGTACAACCTCAAGCGCACACCACGCCGCATCAAAAGCATCATCTTCCTGGTTTGGGTCATCTCAGCGGTCATCTCTTTCCCACCGCTTATCTCCAATATGAAGCAGGGTGAACCCGAGAAGCAGCTCCACGAACAAACAGAATCGAAACCTGATAACAAGTCACTCAGCTGCAGTATCAGTAAGGAGACCTGGTACATCATCTGTTCCAGCATTGGTTCCTTCTTTGCCCCTTGCCTTATCATGATCCTGGTCTATATCCGTATCTACCAGATTGCGAAAAGAAGGTCTCGAGTGCCTCTCAACAAGCAAGGGGAGACTGGTGAGAGGAGACAAAATGGCCTGGATAACAAAGACGATATGCCTGCGATAACCAAGCTCAATGGCGGGAAGACAGCGTTGGCAGGAGGAAGCCAGGAAGCAGAAGTCAATGGTATAGACATGGAGGACACATCTTCTTCAGAGCACAACGACACTCCTCAGCCTAGGAAAGCAGAAAGGCTCCCCAGAAGTAAGGGCAAAACCAAACTCTGCCAGATTAAGCCTGGGGACCATTTGCCTAATCAAGTAGAAGAGGATAGGAACGCCAAAGCTTCACGATGGAGGGGTAGACAGAACCGAGAAAAGCGCTTCACCTTCGTACTCGCAGTAGTGATTGGAGTTTTTGTTGTCTGCTGGTTTCCTTTCTTCTTCACTTACACATTGACTGCTGTTTGTAAGAGCTGCGAGGTTCCTGATACCCTCTTCAAGTTCTTCTTCTGGTTTGGTTATTGCAATAGTTCCCTGAATCCTGTCATCTATACTATCTTCAACCATGACTTTAGGAGGTCCTTTAAAAAAATTCTCTGCAGAATAGACCGGAAAAGAATTGGGTGAAGCGGGGATCTGTTGAAAGGCAAGTCTTAGGTTCAGCTCTGACAGGATATTGGAAGTGGGTGGCACCTTGTCTGATTACTAAGCATTGACTCTTCAAAGGCTTCAGGTGAGATAAAACAATTAAAATATTAGTGCACAACCAGAACCCAACAGGATGGGTGCCCAGGGATGGATCAAAAGTCTTATTTTAGTGTGTTCTTTCTATGTATTTCAGCACATTGAACAAATGAGGCTGGGAAAGGAAAATGTAAGTCATATCTTTCAGAAGCACTTTCTTTCTATTTTCCATCTAAGATCCCTGACATTATGATATTGCATCTTTGAGATTTGTGCATCTTTAACTTTTATAGGAAAATTAGCTTTAAACTGTTTTAAATATTTCTTGAGGACATGCATTCTCTATGAAAAGCAAAAGAAAGATACACATTTGAGTGGACCCCTGCTGCCATCTCATCGATTTCAAATATTATAATATTATAATATTCCAAAATTTCCAATATGGTTCTGGATGTTGAGATATAACAACTGGTAATATAAGCTTTGACACAATGGCCAGTGTTTTATTGTATTCACTATCTGTATTTGTTTTTTAAAAAAATCATGTTTGTCTTGTCTTTTTAAAATGCAGTATTGTTAAAAAGCTGTATCTCTTATTCTGTACCAATTTAAAGAATCAAATATGAAGGATTTCATACTTAGAAAAGGAACTGTCAAAAAGCTGAGCTTTCTAAGGCCTCAGAGATATAAGATAAAGTATTCTTTCTTTGTGATCCTTTCATTGAGATATGTTCAGTACAACTTACTTCTTTCTCTAGTTGTAAATAGATACTGTAGATGAAATTCTCTGTTTACTTTACAATGCTCTTTGATTCACACTGATTTTTTTACATTTTCATTTGTGCTAGCTCTCCTGTACAAAAACATATTTTCATGTACTTCATTTCTTCCTTTTTACCTAATATGAAACTATACAAATCATTTCTTCCAACTGCAAAATTGGATTATAGAACTCTTTTGATTAGTCACATAGTGAATGATATTATACATGAGTATAAAGGAGAAAGAAAATGAATAGAATTATAGTAGCATGTAAAAAATCATGTTGGCATAGGATAAAATATCATTAACTATCTTCCTTGTTTGTTTCCCCAAAAATACCTATTGCAAGTTAATTTTCTCAGCTCATCAAACAATTATTAAAAGGGAAGCAAAAAACATAAGAATTTTATTTTCGATATTATGACAACATATTCAGTTAAATTTACAATCTGATTAAGTACTTTGTAATTGATGATGCTGGAAAAACTCTTCCTTTTAAAGCTATAAAGTCGATACGTTCTTGTTTTATGTGGAAATTTTTATATGGATGACAGGGCCTTCTTTAAAACATGCCAACCTTACTCTATGGAACATTATGGATATCCAGTCTTCAGACTTGTATGCCTTCACTTTGGATATAAGGATACATATCCAATCTCTTAAATAAAAAAAATGAATCTGACACTCCTAGTCAGTCTAAAACTAGAATGTTAATAGAGAAGGGAAAAGAAAATAAGTTATTAGCAACTAATATGTTACTTGTCTAAGAGCTCATTTTTTAAAAAAATATTGAAGAGTTAATTACAGATGTTTGCATAAAGTGTTTTTAACCCAGACTTTAAAATTTCTTTTTTTAAAGACTCATTTTCCAGTGCAAGGAAATTCATACTATTTATATGGAGCTGTTTCTAAAATGTGTATTACTATCCAAGGGCTCAAACTAAGGGGGTGATGGGGACGTAGGGATAAATACACCAGCACACGGTTAAAAATAATGCTGCCATTATAAGTCTGTTGCAAAGGTATTGCAATTTAGCAGGATTGAGGCCAGACCTTGTTTATGAATCAGGCTGCTGGGTCAATATACACTTTTCCTTGCATTCAGTTTAAAATGGGAAAGTCTACTGTTGCAGTAAAACAAGATAATAGTGCAAAGCCTGGGTGACTTCCCCTATTTGTTGTAATTGACGTTTGAATTTTGGAATTTTAATACCCACTTCTTACCAGAAAAATCAGGACACATAGATAAGGAGAAATTTTTCTTTTTGATGGAGGCAATCTGTCTGCATTGTGTTGTATCTTGCATGTCCCCAATTTCATGTTTTCCTGCTATATTTGAGCTGAAATTTCCAGAGTTGTTCATGAAGGCTGAGAATTCCAGAGGAGATAAGCCTACACATTTGGAGACCCCAATTTGGGGAAGGTTGATGTATTTCTAATGCCTTGAAGGAGCTGAATAGAAACATCACAAACCATTTAGCTGGCTTTTCCAGCCTTACAGATGGTTTGTAACAAGGAATTTAACTGCTAAATTACTTTACACAGTAATCAGAAGCAGAGATCCAAATTTAAATAGGAAATTGAGAACCATCTTTTTCAGTTAGTTTCCAAATAAAACCTTTGCAATGGTCTATCCATAATAGGTAGGGAAATCTTTTGAAATGGCTTTCTTATTATATAAAAAGAGTATCTTAAAACTCAGGCCAGAGGGAAAGGCTAGAATCAATGGCTTAAAACTACAAGGAACTAGGTTCAGATTAGATTAAGCCAGTCCAACTCTCAGCCCACAGGCCAGATGCATCACACGCAGGCCATATCCCCCGATCTGTGCAAAGTCAAAAAAAGCATTGTGATCGAGTTTGACAGCCATGGATTAGATGTCAGGTAAATATCTTCACGATATGAACTGCAGTTGAGTGGAGTGAGATGCACAGAAAGAAATAGAATGTAGTAGATAAACAGGATGGCCTTGAAGGACAAAAGGAAGATATTCATATAAATGAAACCGGTGCCCAGGTCAAGAAAGTACTTTGAGAAAGTGTCTCAGACAGTGGTCTGACTGATTTTCATCAAGATGAAAAAGGAAGGTAGCACATTCAGACTTACAAAATAAGCTACTTTATTGCAACAAGCTGTTACAATAAAGTAGCTTAGATCTGGGTGGTGTCCATTTCTTAGTCTCGTCTATCTGATAGGGTTGACATCTTTGCCAAAAGTCTTCAAACAAACTAAATGGTGTTCTCTCAGATGTTCTAGAGCAGGGGTCTCCAAACTTGGCAACTTTAAGACTTAGCTGGTTGAGGAATTCTGGGACTTAAAGTCCACAAGTCCGCAGCAGTGTTGAATTAGATGTGATGCTTCTATATCTCTTTGAACTGTTACAATTTTATGATAATAAGTAAATACAGAGAAAATTAAATATACTCAAGGCTTATTTAGCTGGCCGTGTTAATGAAATTCCTTGATCACACACTGAGCTCTTAGGCAGAAAAATGGCTTCTGTACTTCCAGCAGTGGAGTGACCTCAGTTAGATGAATGGGATTGGCTGTCTCCAGAAACTCATCAGAAAAAAACCTAGAGAGCCTTCTTATCATCTGAATAATGATTTATGGTGTAATAAATGGTAACATTTAGCCATTTGGTCTGAAATAGCACAAGGGAAAAGTTAATTGGCCTTGTAAAAGATCTTGGCTTGAGAATGGTTTGCTTATTTTTGGGGTTCTGGTATTAAATGTACTGTATGAACAAGTAAACAAATGCCTTACACTGGAAAAAATAAAGTGATTTCTGGAGTATCTTTCTAAATCAAAGTTGTATCTGGTATAACAATCCCTCAATACCATGCCATTTGACCTTTTTAAGAAAATGTAACATGTAAACAGAAATAGCCATAATGGATTTATAAATAAATGAATAAAATTGACACCTCTAAAGCATGGTAGATCTTTGTCATCTCTGTTTTCGGTTTCAAGACTTAATCAGCAAATGGGAACTGACCTTTTCAAGCACATATTGCCATGGTCCCTTGTATTTAATCATTGTTACACCACATGTTAAACCGAACAGTGGCCTGCTTTATTATGCTCTAAGAAGCTTTTGATATGATTGTGCTTTCTTATAGCAGAGCAAATCCATTCATGTACCTCTTTAAGGCCAAAAATTAGGGCAAACACATGTTTGAGGTTTTTTTTTTTATATTTTTCCCTTTCCAGTTCCCTCCCTTTTTGTGTCATGAAATACTGTTCTAAACAGGAGTGTACAAACTGGAAGCACTGCTGATTAATTAGGTCAAGTGCAAACAGAGATTATTGGCGTAAAACAATGCTTGTGTCCAGCTAAATGCCTGATAGTGTTTAGAAAAGATAGAACTGCAGGATAGATCAGTTATTTATTAGACATCCCCAATTCCATTTGGGTTGTAAGATTTAGCCCAGAAACATTTTATCTACATGAAAAATGGATAACAAAATTACGGGCAGTAATTTTTACAATCTCTACTATGTGATGTCTGTTCCTTGTAGTCCCTAGATGCCACTGTGTTACTGGTACTAAACTAATACTTGATTTCTTAATAAGACTTTAGATTTAATTCATTAACTGCAAGGAAATGATAGTTCTGTGAAGGGAGCTAGGAAACGTATAGCCTTAAATCATAATTCCCAATCTACTCATTTATTTAAAACATTTTTACTGTGCTGTTCAGCTGAAAAAGGTTCCCAGAAGAGCTTATAAAGGTCATTAAGAAAGAAAAAATATATATCCTGGTTTCAGGTTTGCAGTCTAAAAGTCATCATGCAAAATAAAAGGCCTTGAGTAAAAAAGAGGGAAAAGCTATTTCTACTTATATAGCAGTTTTATAATTTACAAAAGACATAAAATGATCAACTGCAATAAAAAGTTCAGTGAAAAGAAGAGTAAAAATCTGTAAAAAGGAACTTCTGAATTTATTTCTCTTCTGTTTACAACTTGCAAGTTTTTGTCCCTTCTCAAGTGATCCAAGCTGAGGTTCATTCTCTACTCAAGCAAGACACCAGAATCCTTTAATCTGCAAATATTTATTAGAGGTTTGCAAAGCCAGATCAAACTCACGTGGGCATGTTCAGTATCATTCCATGGGCGAAACAAAGAAAATAGGATATAGTTATAATCAAGGGATAAGGAACTACAGGATTATAAAACAGGATTGGTTAGAAATTAATTATCAAATTTATCAAAAGATTAACATGGACTCACTATACTGCCCCTATTAATATCACATCCGAACTTCCCTAACTCTGAAGTTTAACTAATGTCCTTCTTGAACTCTAAATGCAAGGCTCAACTACACTATTACACAGCAGAAGCCATGTTGCCTGTACTTAAAACTCTAGCTAAACTCAGGAGCCCTGTGCTAAAATATCTATAATGCTCAAATTGCTTAAATGCTTCCAAGCTGCTCTTTCAGTTGAGCACTCTCACTGAACACTCTCCAAGAGTTGCGTCTGGTAAATCAGTGCAAAACCACACACATAGTTGTGGTATAATTACCTTAAAGCTCTGCCAGTAAATCTCAGCAAGGGGATTCAGAAGATATTTCTGCCACTCAGAAAATAAAACCTACTTGCCAAATTACTGTACCCAAGAAGAAAGTCAGCAGCTACAATGTACATGTTCTCCACTCCTTGTAAAGTCATCAAAGATTTATGCACTGAGCACTATGCTCTGGATTCAGCAGACTCCATCCAGCCAAAATCATCGGAATGATTGTGTAACCAAGGGTCCAGGCTAGCCTTTGGTTTCTAAGCAGGTATAGCCATTGGGGCAGGAACATGGGCTTAGATTTGCACCACTACCATAAATGGTAGAGTCTGCAGAATTATAAAAGCAATGAGACCCACTTTGAAGAGGGAAGACTAGCTCACCTCCATGTTCCTTTATCTCTTTAGGAAAGGTTGGAGAGTGTTAGGGGTACAATTCAGCACCTCAATATTCTGGAGGCCATCTGGTGAGGTAAAATTTTATTACCACAATGTGTGTTAGGTTAAACAAATTTTTGGGGTCTTTATTTTGGAATCTTTTCCGAAGTTTTGTATATGGTAATCCCAGTACTATTCCCACTGATTTAAAAGCCCTCCAAACCTCCCAAAATGACTGAAATTAGCTTGAATAACTGATTTTTGGCTAGCTGAGCGGTAAAGGCCTTCTAAAAGCCTGTGTCTCATTTCCACTTACACGGCTGAAATCTGACTGCCAAAATTTGTTAGTCCAATGTCAGGGCATTGCTAAATGAATTAAAATGTTGGGGATATGA